TAATTAATAAATTAAAAATTAATTTTTTTAAATGTAAATTAAAATATATATTTATTACTTTCTTAATTTATATTTTTAAAATGTAAGTTAAAAAACCCTTTATAATAAAATATAAAAATACTTAAAAAACCATAAAAAATATGAGGAAAATAAATGTTTGAGAAACTTCCCTCCAACCAAATGCGGCCTTAAAGTGGGCCTATGTGCCAGCACGATATTGTTTTAAAATACATGACTGACTCCTTCACACTTGGCAATGGGATAGAGTTTACAAAAAACGGCCATTAGAAAGAAGAGCCTGGTGGTTCCCTGAACCTTTTGTCCTTATGTATGCACCTGGGAAAGGGTGAGATCTGATATAAAACTTCCACATTTCCTGGGTTTATTGAAGGTAAGAACGAAACTGGATTTTGTACGAAACCCATTTCACAGAGAGAAAGAGAAGATGTTGGAAGGGAAAGCTTTGATTGAAGACACAGACATGCCTGTGAAGATGCAGATCCAAGCCATGGCTTCTGCTTCTCAAGCTCTGGATCTTTATGATGTCTTTGACTGCAAGTCTATTGCTGCCCACATCAAAAAGGTACCCTTTTCTTCTATCTTCTTCATGAGCAATATTTTCTGTTTTGCTTTTTGTTTGATTTCTGTAAACCCCAAAAGGGAAAAGAATTAGAAGAAGTTTATGATGAATTTTTTAATCTGAATCTCGTGGTTATAAAATGTTGTGACAGGAGTTTGACAAGAGATATGGGGGTGGATGGCAGTGTGTGGTGGGTTCCAATTTTGGGTGTTTCTTTACTCATTCTAAAGGAACTTTCATCTACTTTGGATTGGAGACTCTCCAGTTTCTCATCTTCAAAGGGGCTTCTTCTCCATCGTCCCCTTGAAACTTAGGCTCTGTTTGTTGTGGTCTCTAGAAAGATCAAGAAAAAGGCAGTTTATTTTCTTTTTCTTGTTTCTTTTTTCCTTTTTTTTCCCCAATGCTATGTCGGTCAGTGGAGTGGAGGTGAGGAAAAGGGAGAATCATGTTCATAAGAGGCTCATACATGACCACATGGGGTGTTTTGGTTTTGGATATGGATTTTCTCGTGTGGCTTTGAGAGAGAGAGAGAGCCTTGTGCTGCTGGGAATTGGGACCATGTGTTATATCCTCTTTGTACAAAAATGAAAATGGTGGCCTAGTTCTTACTATGAAGAAAATGGTGGCCTAGTTCTTACTATGAAGAAAATGGTGGTCTAGTTTTTCTGTTTGCATCCTTTTGTGAATATTTCTCATTATCCTCATGAATTCCTCAATTTGGTTTGCTCTTGTGATTCTGAG